CCTTAATAATAATTTTCCTTTGGTAATAATTTTGTTTCTTTGTTTTTCATGCAATTTCTTTTATTTTATTCCCCTTCCCCCTCATAGAAACGCACTAACTCTCTGCCTCTTTCCAAACTTCAGATTTCACGATTTTTTTTTTTTTATCTTCCCTCTTCCTTTCATTTCCTATCTTTACCTTCGATTTTTGTGTCTCTCTCGACCCTCTCTCTCTTTCTCTCTCTCTCTCTCTCTCTTTCTCTGTTTAACGCTTCTCGATATACCCGCGAACGACGAAAGCACTTCAATTACTAATCGCGACAAGCGTGCCGAGTTTATGGTCGGACTTGAACAGACGGGCCAGGATTAACCTTAATATCGCGGTCACGTATCACGCGACGCTCGTTCTCTCTCGCCGAAAAAAAAAATCTTTTCAACTGTTGTTGAACAGTAGTGACGGACTCCGCGCAGAGCAGACTGCACTGCTTATGTAGGATAAATCTTAATCCACGTTTATTCGTGGATACTCACGTGAGTAGATCCCCGACGGTGGAATATCGCGACAGAATTGAAAGAAGAAGAAGAAGAAGAAAAGGAAAAATTAGTTTTATTTGTGTAATTTCGTTGATTCAGTTCCACCCACGAGTTACACGATCGAGTTTCAATTAAAGTGACATTTAAATTTCCCTCTACACTTTGGCGTGTATTTAAAGATAGGTGGGGCGGGGGGGGGAGGGGAGAGGCGTGCGTTAAAGAAGAGGGTGTGTGGTGTTTTTAATACACTTTTCTGCAGTGCGTAATTATACTTGTCTAGCTAAAATAAAGTTCATCCTATATTTTTCGGGGATAAATTTCCTACGAGTTCGTTTAAATAACGTTTAAAAAAATGTGATTGACAATTGGGAACAGAGGGGAAAAGAAAGCTCTCGCCGAATCGTTCCAAATTAGAATTTTTATCATACGAGTGGTTAGTTTCTCTAAGAAAGACCGATCGACCCAACGAGTCGGATTAAACGAATCGGTTTGCGTAGGTTGCGTCGACGCTCTGTCGACCGCGTTTATTTTGACTAAAAATTGCGCGTAATTGAGACTTAACAAACATAACGTCTCCTCCACCCTCCTTAATCCATTTCCATCGTTCATGGAAACGAACCTCTAAAACATGGAGGAATTTAAAAATAAAAAAAAATGTTCTCGTTCCCGAGTCTTGAATCTTTTGCAAGGATAGCCCAATCGAATAGTGGGCGAAATAGTGGCAGGGTGAAAATTTCTCTTTGTTTTCAAACGCGAAACGCGTGTGTTTCAGGAAAATCTCGCCGGACGTGCTGCCGTCGTGTTCCGCGGGGATTTTCCGACAGAAGTCGTTCCGCGCGTCGACGCCGCCGCGGAGCAACTCGAGCACACCTGCGGCGAACAGCGAGCGACAGCGCGCAGACGCGGATCCGCGGGGTCCACGTGAGCCGAAAACACCTAACAACAGCGGCGGCAGACGTTTGAAGAGCGGCGTGCTACTTCTCGCGCGGGGCGCCCGCGGCACCAGCAAGCACGCACGCCTTGGCACGGCACTGGCGAACAAAATGGCGTCCTCGAGTACCAGCACGGTCGTGCAGGGCTGGCCGAACACCAAGGACGACTACGAGCTGAAAGAGGTTATTGGTGAGTAATCGTCAGCCTCGGTATTCCCTTCGTCCGCCACCATCGCGGAAACGCGTGCGTGATTCTCCCGGATGTGCGCGTCGCCGACGTGCTGCACGCTTGCCCGCTCCGGATGAACAGCTACCGTTCGTGTTCCGTGACGTTCGAGTCGGTCATCTGGCTCGTTAAGTAACAGAGAGCAACATGTTCACATTTTCAGAAGTGAAAGAAGTGAACACCGCGGGCAGGATCGACTGGATCTTCGAGCGGTACCGCGAGCGAGAAACTCGCCTCGAGTTCGCGTTTACGCGGCCGTCTCTCTCGCGCTGCAGTTGGAAACTCGTTGTCCTGCTCGCTCTCACGCGCAGCACGTATACCGGTGTCCGATACGTCCTAACCTAGTTAACTCGCTCGTGAAACAGATCCACCGATTCTTGATGCGTACGCGTGTCAGGAATACCCGGCGAGGTTCCTCGGGCCGCTGAAAGCGAATAAGATCATCGTCCTCCGACTCGAGCCAGCATCTTCGAGATTATTTTCATTTATAAATGTTTATCGGAAGCGATCAGCTCGAAGGTTATAACTGGCACATTATTGCGGTTTTTTTCCGCCATTTGGATCAGTTTTTTTTTTTTTTTTGAAAAAGAACGTGAAATATACTTGATATAATTGGTTGTCTCAACGATTCGACATAGATCAACGATTTATCTTTTTTTTTAAGATAGGACTTCTTGGACTAATGTAAATAGGACAATAATGTAAAAGCAATTTATACACACACACACACACACATATATATATTGTTTTTACGTAATTGGCAAGGAAACGTCGGCGTGAAAAGTCTTTTCATTTAGAAAGAAGCCGGTGTGGGTTCTCCATAAATTTCTTCAGAATTGTGAAAAATTCGAGATTTACTAACCGACGATGTAATTTGAAACGTACGTATTCTGCGTCAGTATAACGTCACGATAGCGTCACGTGACACACGATGACGTATAAAAACGTCATAAGCGTTTGAACACACATCTGTTCAATTTCGCACGTTCTATACCGAGAAATTTCAATACTCTTTGTCACATTGTAATATTGTATTTTTCAGGTGTTGGCGCAACTGCCGTGGTGCACGCCGCATTTTGCATACCGCGGCAGGAGAAATGTGCAATCAAGAGAATAAACTTGGAGAAATGGAACACAAGCATGGACGAGCTTCTGGTAATTTCTTTTACGGATGATCGAGTCAGAAAAAAAAAATATTGCTTGATAAATGTGATAAACGGACCATCGTATCGGGCAAAAGTTTCGTTTCGTGGACTACTTGTGTTATCGCAGTTATCGCCACTTAACGCAACAAATCCATTTATTTACACTCTGTGGCTACACTTTGCACTTGCATTACATTGGAGATATTGAATATCGTGAATGACGACGAATTTTGATATTTGTTTGAAAACACGATTTGCCGTTGATACATCGGAATTATATATTATGTTATAATGTATTATTATATTATATATATTATTATATTATATTATATTATAATTATAATTATCAGCGTTCCGTTGATGTCCGGCAAGCAGAATTTTGTTCAGATATTCAATATTTATTTAAAAGGATTTGTCTCTTTGATTAACAGAAAGAAATACAGGCAATGTCCTCCTGCAATCACGAGAACGTGGTCACGTATTACACGTCGTTCGTCGTGAAGGAAGAGCTTTGGCTCGTTCTCAGGTTGCTGGAAGGTGGATCCTTGCTGGACATTATCAAACACAAAACCAGAACTACGAATTGCAAGCACGGGGTATTCGATGAAGCTACAATAGCCACTGTCTTGCGAGAAGTGCTCAAAGGCCTTGAATACTTTCATAGTAACGGACAGATACACAGGTATACTGTTTTATATTATTTCTCTCTGCAGTTATTACCAAATTATATAAAAGAAACCAATCGCGTTCAAAATTTGAAAAGAGAAATCTCATTTTCCTCAGACTCTTACTATTCTTCACATATCTTCCAAATTTTATCAACTTTTCAGTTCACTGTGTTAACTGCCCGTGGCTTAATTGGACCATTTCTGTTCAGCCCTAATTTGTCTACTTTTCTTAGGCTTACAACAATAACATTCTGGTATACGGTTCTTATTATGTAACCAGCTTTTAAGTTAATTATTTAAGGAATTAAGAACAATGAATTAAGGAAGCTTTTCAATTGTCGTCATCTAATTTCAAAGCAATCAAAAAATACTAAAAGTGAAGGATAATTACTTCTAATAAATTCAATAATCTGTGACGTGAATATATTTGATTCTCTGATAATGTATAGACAAATTTTAATGACAGAATAATATTAGGGACATAAAAGCCGGTAATATCCTACTAGGAGAAGATGGCACCGTGCAGATAGCCGATTTCGGTGTCAGTGCCTGGCTAGCGACTGGTCGGGATTTAAGTAGGCAGAAAGTCAGGCACACGTTTGTCGGCACACCCTGCTGGATGGCACCCGAGGTCATGGAGCAGGTGAGAGAGGAAAGTAACATTACAACTTCTTAGCCTGCGTTTTTGGTGTCCATGTTCATCCTTTACTGTTCAGTTGGCTTGTTCAAATTGCATTTCCTTATTTTATCAGAATTAATTAATTAATACCCGAAATCTAATTTCTTTTTCGCAACGCACCAGAAGTATTCTAAATTCTAAAATTTTTACTTTTATTTCTGCTTCCTTCAGCATGTAAATAATATCATGTAATTGTTGTATTTCCGTCGAGTACATTATTTCTCAATGACTACAAAATCTCTTCTTTTTTTTTTTCTCGATATTATTGAAATAAGAAGCATGTTACTGTTAAGCAGCATGACTTGACATCGTAAATTGGTATTCCGATTTAATGCGTATGTTGTAAAATCAATTATGATATGCAAATAACTTTGCAGGACCATGGCTACGATTTCAAAGCAGACATTTGGTCACTTGGCATCACTGCCATCGAAATGGCTAGCGGTACAGCCCCATACCATAAATATCCGCCAATGAAAGTGCTTATGCTAACTCTGCAGAACGATCCGCCAACTTTAGACACTGCCGCCGACGATAAAGATCAGTACAAAGCCTACGGTAAAACATTCCGGAAAATGATCGTCGATTGCTTGCAGAAAGACCCAACGAAAAGGTTAATTTCACTGGCGATTGTTTTATTAAATCATCGAGGACCAAGTATTCACAATTCATGAAGTGAAACGTTGGCCCTTGATGAGTAAAAAAAAAAAAAACGTGCGAGATCAAAAATATTGAAGAAGAATAATTTTACAGACCAACGGCAACGGAGCTGCTGAAACATCCGTTCTTCAAAAAGGCGAAGGATAAAAAGTATCTGCAACAGACTTTGGTAGCTTGCGGTCCTAGCCTTGAAACTCGAGTGCAGAAGGTATAATTCTTTTTTTTTTTTTTT